ACGGGGTAACACCCCAGAAGGGGGATGACACCCAGTCGTCTTCCCGCCTCTGCAGGTGATTTTTGGCACAGACATCCTTCCGGCCCCAGACTTCCAGAAACCCCACTGGCAGTCTGGAACCAGAAGTCCCCCCGACCCTGGAAGTCCCGCCACCCACACTGGGTGTCACTCAATGCGGGACGTCACTGAGCCCCTCTGAAAAACAGTCGCCACAGTCTCTCTGCAGAGAGCCTTATATGGCAAACCCCTATTAAAAATGGCCAGTGCAGTTGCAATTTCAGAAGAAAATCAAGCTGTGCTTTATAGATTATAATAAAGTGTTTGTACAGAAAATTAAAAACTTTGGCTCACTTTTAAAGAAATGGGTGTGCTACAACATTTGATTGTGCTGATGTGTAACCTGTATTTAGGATAAGAGGCTACTGTTAGAACATAATAAGAAAAAAAATGGAATGGGTTTCAGTTGTCAAGGCTATTAGGCAAGGCTGTATTTGCTCATTTGTTTAATTAGTGTGCTGAAGATATACGTAAAAAGAATTAGACTCAGAAAAAGAAAGTATGAAAATTGGAGGAAGGAACATCAACAATTTAAGATAGGAAGATGACACCATACAACTAATAGAAAATAACAAAGACTTGGAACAATTACTGAAGAAAGGCAAGGAAGAAAGTGCAAAGTAAGGTTTACAGCTGAAAATAATAATAATAATAATAATAATAATAATAATAATAATAATAATAATAATAATACAAAAATAATACCCATAACTTTAAAGTAGATGATGAAGACATCAAAATAGTTCAAGATTTTTTTTCATACATTGACTCAGTCAATAATCAGAAGAGCCTGCAGTCCAGAAATCAAAAGAAGACTAGGGCTCAGAAGGGCAGCTATGAAGGAACTAGACAAGATCCTGAAGTCTCAAAATATATTATTGAATACTAAAATTAGGATTGTCCATGCAACTCTATTTTCCATTTCTATGCGTGGTTGTGAAAACTGGGCAGTGATGAAAGCTGATAGGGGGGAAAAAATCCTTTGAAATGTGGTGCAGGAGAAAAGTTCTGTGGATACCATGGACTGCTAAAAAGACCAATAAATGGGTCCTAGAGCAAATCAAGTCTGAATACTCCCTAGAAGCCAAGATGACTAAACTGAGGTTGTCATACTTTGGCCATATCACTCACTAAATCACTCACTAAACATATGACTCACTAAAAAAAAAAAAAAAAAAAACCAATAATGCTTGGTTAGATAGAAGGCAGTAGGAAAAGAGGAAGACCACATTCCAAAAGGATAAACTCAGTCAAGGGAGCCATGCCTCTGAGTCTGCAAGACGTGAGCAGAATAGTGGAGGACAGGATGACTTGGAGGTTTCTCATACATGGGGTTTCCATAAGTCGAAGTCAGCTTCACAGCAGTTAATAACAAGGGTTTTCATATACTGATTAGATCAATTTCTTTTCAGTAGATTACAATCTGCTGATATTGCATGTATTAACAAATAATAGTATACCACTCCCTTGTTGCAGCAGCTCCACTGGCTGCCAGTCCATTTCTGAGCACAATTAAAATTGCTGGTTTTGACCCATAAAGCCTATATGACTTGGGTCTGGTCTATTTGAAGGATCATATCTCCCTTTACGAACCACTACAACACTGATGTTGTCCGGAGAGGCCCTCCTCTCTGTCCCTCCACCCCCTCAGGTGCATTTGGTGGGAACAAGAGAGAGGGCCTTCTCGTGGCTGCTCCTAGGCTCTGTAACTTCCCCCGCCCCAGAGAGGTCAGGCTGGTTCCATCCATGCTTTCAATTCAATAGCAGATAAAAACATTTTTATTCCACCAGGCTTTCTCCCACTGATATGGGTACGGTAAGAGTTTTATAGAGTTTTTAAATTTTAAATTTGAATATGTAATGTTTCTAACTTCTTGAAATAGTTTGTTTTTAAACTTTGTATTTTTAATGTTTTGTCTTGTTTTAACTTGGACTGTTTTAAATTTTGTTAGCCGCCTTGAGTCCCTGTACCAGGAGAAATGAAGGGGGATGATGATGATGATCATGATGATCATGATCATGATGATAAGCTAGTTGCTTCCTTAGATTAAGCATTTTATAAACCTCTGCATAATTTCACACTACTAATGTGCATTAGCATTTGCACACTAAATTATACATTTGATATGTACCCTCCCTTTTTAGTAATTTACTTGTGTTCTACATAGGGCTTGAGAATATCATTCATTTTCACTTTCTTTTAATATCCTAGACACAATGTTGTTTTCCTCACAAAAATGTTCTGGCATGATTAGAATAAGCTTTATGACAATTTATGACTTTTTGTGCGGCAGTTGTTAAAGATCTAAAAAATATTTTGTTTTTGAATGGTTGGATATTTTTCCTCCTTCCTTGTTAAATAGACATCTGTATTCATCCGTCACCTTCTCAGCCTTCAAAGAATACCAGTGGTTTGCTTTTTGCCTCTTTACACACATAATCTGGTAAAAATAGTGTTGGTAATAATAGCAGTCTTACAGAGATTTGAGAAGAGAGATGACGTAATAGCATGCAGAAATTTTCTCCTTCTCGTTCGTTCTGCAGTGTAATATTTTGTTTGGGGGGAAAAAGAAATAATTATGAATCAGTGACGTACATGGGCAATAAGAAAATCCATTTTCTGTAGTAATGCTTTGGCATCAGTATTTAATAATTTAGCTTAAGTTTAGAACCTTGTGGTTTTAAAACATATTTTTTCATAAATTTCCAGTTTACTTTGAACTTGCCTTATAAACTTTCAGGTTTTCTTTATGTGTAAATCTACATATCATATTTTCTTTACAGATAGGCTAAAGTGAATTTCCTTTCAGGAAGATAAAGGGCCTTTGCAGACTGCCAGAAATAGTGCACATTAAATTGAGGCACTGTCCTAGCTTAGTGCTAGGGAGTCATGGGAATTGTATTTTTTTTTTTTCTGAGACATTGAGCCTTCTCTGTCAGAGAGCTCTGGTGCCACAATAAATTACAGTTCCCATGATTCCCTAGCACTGAGCCAGGGCAGTGCCTCGATTTAATGTGCACTATTTCTGGCAGTCTGCAAAGGCCCATAATCTGGGAAATGCATGATCTCTCTGGGATGTGAGGAGTCTTGCCAGTATTTCTCACTATATGTCTTGTTATTAAACCAGAAATTTAGAATGCAACAGTCTAAATGCAGATACAAGGAAACTGACAGCCTACAGTTATGCATGTTCAGTTAGTCCGGTTATTCTCCAGAATGATACACATTTTCAAATGTTAGTGTTCTTAAGATGTTGAAATGAATGCATTCAGCTTATGTAAAAGGTAGAAAATAGTAATAAAAAGTTTGCTTCTCATGATGACCTGTCACCCTATAAGGAATCATCTGGTACAAACTTCATCTTTTACGTTTGATTTTCTCCTACCAGTACTTTAGTAGTTGATGGTAAATATGTATTTAGAGCACATTTAAGAATTTGGGAACTGCGCGTAGGCATAATATCGAAGGAGATTATTTTTGAAAGAGCATTCCCTCAATCATTCAGTATAATTATTGTAATTGACTGTAATAATTAGCAAGGGACTTTGTTGAACATGAGGTGTCCCATTTTCATGAAATTAGAAAGTGGTGAAAATAGCAGTGATGCACATTTCTGTTGTATAATTTATTGGACAATATCTGTTCCCATTTTCCAGTCCTCCTCCACAGAGTACTCTTTTTTTATTGTAATATGATATTAATGTCATCATTATTACAGCTTTACAAAATGCTTACTTTGCAGGTAGAAGTTGCAAGTCTTTATTGAGAAGAGTTGTTGGATGCAATGCTGTAGATCAGGAACTGGCAACCTACAGCCCGGGGGCCGGTTAAGGCCCTGGTCCCTGGACTTACCGGCCCAGGCCGAAGGTTGCCGCCGCCGCCGCGCGCTGCCGCAGCACGTTTTGCCGCAGCTGCCATTTTGGAAATCAAAATGGCAGTCGTGACGCGTTTGCGCGTGTGCAGTACTCTTGCGCATGCGCAAATGCGTTGTGGCTGCCATTTTGATTTCCAAAATGGTGGCCGCGACATGCGCTGTGGCGGCTGCGGCCACGTGCGGCGGTGGAGGTTCCCCCCCCCTCGGCCCAGCCGAGACCGGCCCAGGTCTTAAAAAGGTTGCCTTCCCCTGCTG